TTACATTCATGACGCCTCTTACATGGAAAGAAACCTTTACTATCTAAAAAAAGTCATATGCTTTGTTCTTCATTGGGGGGTCAAGTACATTTTTTGCTAGCTTCAATCTTAAAGAGGGGGCCCGTCTATACACAAATTTTCAGAACATCAGGAAGTAATTCTTGTAGTGTTTTATCTGCTTTTAATAAGGCCCAATGTTTTCTAAAAATCTTTTCTACTTTTTTGTAGTGAACATTAAAATCCAAAATAAACGGTAATTGGTCCCCAAAGTCGTCTCTTTTCATTTTATCACTAATAAGTGTGACATGCTCCATATTAGTCACTTCTTCTGTTGCTCCTTCAATAGACTTCTGTGGATATCCTTTCACTGAAAAACAATTTCCTATCGTTTTAACTTGATCCTAAGTCGTACGAATTGCCCTTTGGGTATATTAAATAACCACGGAGGATAATGGCAACTGTCCACTGGAATGAAGCCATTTCTGTTTACATCCTTAAAGTTTTTGTAATAATGTTTCCTTCTTCCAATAAAATGGTCAGATCTAAAAAATTAATAACTGCCTCATTATTTTCCCAAGAAATTCTAATATTTTTGGTATTATAATTAAGTTGATATAAAAAAATTAATAAGGCCCTCTTTGTCTCTCAGCCATATAATAAACATGTCATCAATTTATCTTTTATAAAGTACCAATTCTCTTGGGGAATTCCTATATATAGCTTCCTTTTCCCAAAAGGTTATGAAAAGGTTAGCTACACTTGGAGCAAACCATACCCCCATTGCCACTCCTCTATTTTGAAAAGGGAATTCCCCTTTATGCCAGAAATAATTGTGTTGTAACACTTATAAGCATTCCAATATAAACCTTTACTCCCCAATTTAGGGCCTAACTTGTAGCCTCTATATGGTGGCGAAACGCGTGCCACAGCCGGCACGCCGAGCCTTATCTGTGGGCACGCCAGGAGAATCCCTGTAGTTGACAGCCGGGTCCCAAGTGCGCATGCACAAGAAGCAGTGCTCCTTGTGAATGGTAAGGCGGTACCTGGGACACATGACAGATTGCCGCCGGACCAATCACAAAGCGCAGCGCTTCTCGCGCATGCGCACTGGGCATCCGGCTGTCCGACGAGCGCCCACACTACAGAAGCCGGGAAGACAGAGCGCGGCTGGATCGAGGAACAGGTAAGATAAAAAAAAAAAACTCTGCGGAAGTAAGAGCGGGTACCTGTCAAATTCAGGTACCCGCTCCCCCTCCCTCCCCAAAGGTCAGCAGTCATCCCTGTGCTGTGTCCCCAGTCTCTGGTCATCCCTGTGCTGTGTCCCCAGTCTCTGGTCATATCCCTGTGCTGTGTCCCCAGTCTCTGGTCATCCCTGTGCTGTGTCCCCAATCCCTGTGCTGTTCCCCAGTCTCTGGTCAAGTCTCTCTGGTCATCCCTGTGCTGTGTCCCCAGTCTCTGGTATCCCTGTGCTGTGTCCCCACTCTCTGGTCAGCTGTGTCCCCAGTCTATGGTCATCCCTGTGCTGTGTCCCCAATCCCTGTGCTTGTCCCCAGTCTCTGGTCATCCCTGTGCTGTGTCCCCAGTCTCTGGTCATCCCTGTGCTGTGTCCGCAGTCTCTGGGTCATCCCTGTGCTCCGCAGTCTCTGGTCATCCCTGTGCTGTGTCCGCAGTCTCTGGTCATCCCTGTACTGTGTCCGCAGTCTCTGGTCATCCCTGTACTGTGTCCGCAGTCTCTGGTACTGTGTCCGCAGTCTCTGGTCATCCCTGTACTGTGTCCGCAGTCTCTGGTCATCTCCTGTACTGTGTAAGATCTCCTGTACTGTGAAGTCTCTGGAGTACTGTGTCTGCAGTCTCTGGTCATCCCCTGTACTGTGTCTGCAGTTGGTCATCCCTGTACTGTGTTGGTCATCCCTGTACTGTCCGCAGTCTCTGGTCATCCCTGTAAGTCTCTGGTCATCCCTGTACTGTCCGCAGTTCTGGTATCCCTGTACTGTGTCCGCAGTCTCTGGTCATCCCTGTACTGTGTCCGCAGTCTCTGGTCATCCCTGTACTGTGTCCGCAGTCTCTGGTCATCCCTGTACTGTAATTAGTTTGCACTACTGTACGAGTTGTTTTTTCTAAACCAAAAGCTCGATATTCAGGTTTCATTGCAGTGTTGGCACTTTGAAAGAAATAAGTTGGTTTTGGGTTGCAGTTTATAGGTTCGCCATCACTGCTCTATAGCATAGTTATGATTAATTATGGTGTACAGTGACGATACATATGGACTGGCTAAGAATACCGAAGGAGAATTCATTTGTACTTTCTCCAATACTGAATAAGATGTTCTGTATCTCTGAGATAAGATTGTGTTTGCTGTACTAATGGTTGTAGAAACCAATCTATATACTGTCCCAGTCATGCTTACACCGACTGTATCCCATTAACAAGTTTTATCCTTATGAATTTTTGGTATTGTATAAATCACTGGTATGCTACATGTGTCAGGTAGTAGGTACCTTGATTCTTTTTTAGTCAGCATTTTTTTTTTCTACACCTTTTTTTTAATTACATATTCTAGTTATTTTTATATATATTTTAATGTTGGGTCCTTTGGAAGCTTGTGATAAGTCTCCTTATCTGCCAGTTGTCCATCTAATTCCTTCATAGAGTATTCTTTTGATAAGACCACAATTCCCCCTCCCTTATCTGCTGGTCGAATAACCATCACTGGGCATACCACCACTACTGCTAAACCGGATTTGTATATGCTGATTGGCTGTATTGGTGTATCTTGTATTGTGAAGGCTTATTGGCCCTTTGGGGTCACTGCATGAAGGTGATGGGGCAATCCAGCCGGTGACAGATTCCAATTTTTTCACCTTTTTATCACCTATTTTAACGTGGAATTTTCACTTGTTTGAAGAGTTCACATGGGGACATTTGTTGCTTATCATTATATTATTTAGTGGCACATTATTTGTGGCATTACGTGGCTAATAGGGTTGTTTTTAGGTTTTTTAATTTATTTTGCAGCACATTGTGATATATTGTTGTGACATTTTTATGTGTTTGTGTTTAAACAAATAAATCTCAATTAGGGATTTGATCACATGAGTTATATATTGTTTATTTTTGTCACTTATCACATTTTGTAACACATTTTATGTAGAACGACTTTATGTGGTCTGAAAGTTTTTTTTGTTTTGAGTCAGGCTTTTATCCTGACAGTCTCACTGTATATTATTCACGCCAGTTGTGAGTCTTCTGGTCACGGCTCTTTTTTTCAGTCATATTTTATGCCATTTATTTGTGATTTTTGTCATATGTTTCCCCCCCTATATTAAGGGATGCATGTTTTATTGTCTCACGATTTTCGTCAGTGTGTGATGTTTATTTCTCGTTTTACACATATTTATATATTTTGTTGCATATTATCACATGATATTGTCCTTTCTTGATGCATATATCTCCTTTGTTAGAATTCATTTGAGATTTATATTTATGCACTAATTATGCCATTTAAGTGTATTTAAGGTACTTTGTATGGAAACACAACACCATTTTTTTTTTTTTTTTTATGTTTGCAACGTATTCAGGTATATAGCCAGATGATAGCAGCTTCCTGATCTGTATATTTATTTTTATTCCGAGTAGCACAGGTGGTTTCCATACTACAGCCATCAAAACTGGTCTTTTTATGATAACACTCTAAAACACAATATGGTATCGGTTCTTACTAAATTTTGATCCTGTTTTTTTTCCCTCTTTTTCACTCATCTTCTTTTCCTCTATGTATATACATACAAATATATATCCAGGCATAGGTATTAGACCTGATCTTCACATTCAGCAGGAACTGTACTGCTGTCTGTTCAACAGAAGCTGGTCTAACGACCGACTTATTTCTCATGGTCCTGTTGGAAAACCATATAGAAAAAACTAGACAGCGCTATGTAATTTAAATGCTTGATGCCAGGTGCAAAAGCATTTTCCAGTTAGTCTTTCTTCACAGAGGTAACACTAATGAATGTATTCTATCCTATTACATCATATTTGGTATTAAAGACTACAAACCCAAAAAGTCAGGTGCATTGGCATTTTGTGCAAAAATAGCATAAACCTACTGTGCCAGGAGCTTTGGCATTTTGTGCAAAAAATAATAAAGTGCATTTACATATAGTGCATGTATAACATATTCATAAAATGCTTTTACATACCGTATTTTTCTCTCCATAAGACGCACTCCCCCCCCCCAAAAAAAAAATGGGGAAAATGTCCGTGCCTCTTATTGAGTGAATATGGAGCGGCCGGCCTGGTATTTCCCCCGTGTTAGAACACCGGGCCGGCTGCTTGGCTCTTCTCTGCAGACCTCCAGTGGTTCTACCTGTCCCTCGGTCTAGCGGCGAGAAGTGCCATGCTTTGTGAATGGCCTGTAGTCTTCTGGGACCTGTCATGTGTCCCAGAAGATTATGGGGAGGGAGGGGGAAGGACAACACTGTGGAAGTGGGAACGGGTACCTGTCAAATTTGGGTACCTGCTCCCCCCTCTCCGCTCCCCAAAGGTCCGCAGTCTCTGGTCTTCTGTACTATGTCCGCAGTCTCTGGTCATCTCCTTTTACTGTGTCTGTAGTCTCTGGTCATCTCCTTTTACTGTGTCCGTAGTCTCTGGTCATCTCCTTTTACTGTGTCCGTAGTCTCTGGTCATCTCCTTTTACTGTGTCCGTAGTCTCTGGTCATCTCCTTTTACTGTGTGCGCAGTCTCTGGTCATCTCCTTTTACTGTGTGCGCAGTCTCTGGTCATCTCCTGTACCCGCGTCCGCAGTCTCTGCTCATCTCCTGTACCACGTCCGCAGTCTCTGGTCATCTCCTGTACCGCGTCTGCAGTCTCTGGTCATCTCCTGTACCGCGTCCGCAGTCTCTGGTCATCTCCTGTACCGTGTCCGCAGTCTCTGGTCATCTCCTGTACCGCGTCCGCAGTCTCTGGTCATCTCCTGTACCACGTCCGCAGTCTCTGGTCATCTCCTGTACCGCGTCCGCAGTCTCTGGTCATCTCCTGTACCGCGTCCGCAGTCTCTGGTCATCTCCTGTACCGCGTCCGCAGTCTCTGGTCATCTCCTGTACCGCGTCCGCAGTCCCTGGACATCTCCTGTACCATGTCCGCAGTCTCTGGACATCTCCTGTACCATGTCCGCAGTCTCTGGTCATCTCCTGTACCATGTCCGCAGTCTCTGGTCATCTCCTGTAGTATGTCTGCAGTCTCTGGTCATCTCGTGTACTATGTCTGCAGTCCATTGGTTTAGAATCTTTTGTTTCCTGTTTTCCTCCTCTAAAATCTAGGTGCGTCTTATGGTCAGATGTGTCTTATGGAGTGAAAAATGTGGTATATAACATACTCATAAAGTGCTTATACATATCGTGTGTGTATATAACATAATTGTAAAGTGACAATGCAAAATTATGTACCTCAAAATAAAGTGAAGATTTTTATATAACCAAATCAATTAAATCAAAAATCCAACACAGTTATTGATAATCCCTAAGGGGGAACGCTTATTGGGCTGGTTTATGATCTTATCAGCAACATCTTTTGATGAGTTGAGACTAGTAGAATTGGTGACAGATACACATTTTGGTGATAATTTAAGGTGCAACAGAGAGGACTCACTGCAGATGAAGAAAATTGTGTTTATTTATACACGGTGTTTGGTGCACCCAAAGAAAGAAGATTTAGAAATTTTGGACTCTGCACACTGATTTAATTTTAAGATATTTTTGGATTGTTATATAGCTAATATTTCATTTATGTATTATTGATTTAATTGATTTGGTTATATACATATCTGCACTTTATTTTGAGGTACATCATTTTGCATTGTTACTTTACAATTATAGAAAATGCTTTTGCACCTGTCATCATGCATTTAAATTACATAGCGCTGTCTAGTTTTGTTCTAAATGTTTTAGGTTGATCTATATCACGCAGATAGCTGCTGTATTTTTTAAAATTTTTAATTATTTTTTTTTGTTCACATTGAGTTGCCGTGGCGTGCCTTGATATAGAAAATATATCTGTTGGAAAATCAGCATTCAATCAGTGCTTGCAGACAATGGCTTGCAGCACTGATCATTATATTCTGACGGGGTATACAGTAGTCCCTGCTGTGAGAATACAATAGTGTAGCAGTTAAGATCCCTGCATCTACATTGCTTGTATGGAGGGCGGGAATCTGGGAGTTTTTTTTTTTTTTTTTTTCCTTTTTATTCAACCCCCTGGTTTAATGAAAAAAAAAACTATGTGCATACCCGGCTTTAGATTGCATGCCACTGCAAATTTTGCTAGCAGATTTGTACTTGCAAGTACTGTGTAGTATTTTTGCTAATATAAAAAAGCTAATTTTCAATGCACATGAGAGAATGCATAGTCAACATAAATTATCCCTGACAGTTTTATCTAAATGTTTTATTGGCAACAGAAGAAAATCTATTCTTTACATTTTATTGAAAATGTATTATAATAACTATAATTTAAAATGGAGTCAATGGAATAAAATAAATTTAAATCATGGAAGAACACTTGGTAAATTTTACACACGTTATATCAACACTGTAGGTTATGTTTTTTATTCTTTTATTTATATCTGTAATTTACATTTTATAAGGAAAACATATTACTCTACAGTATAAATGAATTATTGATCAAATGTGTGAACATGCAGCTACAGGGATTCTTAGTTTACTGTTTATAGATTTGTGCTGGAATGTCAGAAGGCTGAGTTAGAAGTGTATACTTTAGAGGAAAAAAACATCCAAAAATACCATGAAAAAAATTCTTGGATGCTTAGTATGACTTTCATGCTGGAGTTCCAAGCGCCGGTGTGCCATTATTTTATAACTCTAGTATTTCCTAATAGCCTAAAGTAAAATAAAGGGTTATCTATTGTTTTGGGAATCCCAGAAAAGGCTCATAAGTCACACCTGCCAAAGACTGCAAATGTTCCGGAAAAATAATATATTTCACTGATTATTTTAGAGTTTGTCCAGCTTTTAACAAGGACTACATTTCACTAACAACCACATTCCACCTGCAGCCTCATTGTAAGGCAAAATCTTATATACTGCTCTGCCTGTTCTGAAATGCTGGTACTCTTTGAGTGTTATAATAAAAAAGAAGGATGGAATGTAAAGCATCATCAATGAAAAGAACAATATATGACCACACATAAGGCACACAATATAGTCTAGGCACCCATTAAGTGCAGATTCTAAACAATATCTGTTCTTCACCATGGACCGCCATGGCCTGTCTTGGATTTGTTCGATGTCCCAAGACCAGAGTTTCAGGTTTTCACACCAGTGACTGTTGAAGATAAAAAAGAAGATAGCTGAAACACAGCTCAAAACTAAATCTGAAAACAATGTGTCGTCAGGCAGATACGGTTCAGGGAGTTGTTAGTTACAGTTTGGTAAATAATTAAGGTTGTATCCAGAAGATTGACAAAATTTACAGATTACAGTACTGAAACACTACAAATGACCAGGCAGAACATTTTTCTTGGGTCCTGGTTCAGAATGCTGATTTATACATAACATCCAGTGATGACACTTGTTTAACTTGACATGCATGTACAGGATTCTCCTATTTAAAAACAGCAGGAACAACACCCATGGGGAAACTGCTGATGAAAGAGTGACATTCAAAAAAAATACAACTGAGTTTTACCAACACTAGGATATCATCAAATTACTATATTGGATATGGATCGGTGGCTTCAACAAATGAATGAGGGGAGAACTGGGTATTTGCAAAAAATGGGCAAATTTTGAGTTTTTAACCAAAATTCAGTTAATTGGCATTAAAACTGTATATCAAAGACATATGCAACCAGTTCATAGGACTGACTATTCAATCTTACCACTTCATGCCTAAGGGTAAAAACAAATCTTAACGCCTAAGCACAATCTTGCAACTTTTGACATGTGTTAGTAAAAACCATTTATATCATCACAACTACTTTGGTGCGTATAAGTGGATTTTACTTGACATAAAGGTGGATTTGTTAATTCATCTCATAGTAAATCTGGTATGTCAGCAGTGGTGGTGTACACCCAGGTACAGCATTTATAATCAGTGATGGATGCACAAAGTCCAGGTTAATGCTGCACTGATTTGTTCAACCCTCATCTCATTTGATAAGTACTTGTTTTCTTAAAGCTCTTAATTCAACATTTAACCAATTCAATACCGGGCAATTTTACACCGTCCTGCCCAGGCCAGTTTTTCAGGTTTCAGCGCTCTCACAACTTTGAATGACCATTGCACGGTCATACAGCATTGTACCCCAAACTAAAATGTTATCATTTTCTTCACACACTACTAGAGCTTTCTTTTGTGGTATTTAATCACCACTGAAGTTTTTTTTTTTTTTTCAATTATTTTGAAACAAAAAAAAGTTTTTCTTTGTTTCTGTTATAAAAATTTTGCAAATAAATAATTGTTCTTCATAAATTTAGGCCGAGATGTATTCTGCTACATGTCCTTTGATAAATAAACCCAAATTAGGATGTATTTTTTAGTTTGTAGGAATGTTATAGAGTTCACAAACTATTATATAGATCTGAATATTGATCAATCCTGAAGTACATGACAACCAATCTAATTTCTTGAGGTCCAAGAATGTCAGAATAGTACAGATATCCCCCAAATGACCCCTTTTTGCAAAAGTAGACAGCCGATGTACTTCATAAGAGGCATGGCGACGAGTTTTTTGAAGTTGTATTTTTTTTGTTATTTTTCGGAAAATGAAAAAATTAAAAAAATTAGTTTTTCACTATTTTTTGTTTTTACATATTGTCACCAGTGCAGTACTGCATCATCATATAACTGGCATGGCGGTGATTTAGGGATACTGACTGTGACTGTATAAAAAAAAAATCCTATATTTTTTTTCTTTTTTTAAGAATTTTTTTTTTTTATTTCACTATGACCAAAGTAGTACAATGTTACTATAAGCAAGCATTTACCCTGAATGACATCGATTCATTCAGGGGTTTTTTTTTTGGTTTTTTTTGTGCTTAGCTGTGATTTGGCCACAGTTAATCAATGACATATGCATGTGATTAGCTGTGACCATTCACAGCTAGACACTAATATACAATGTATGCATGAATGAAGCCATCCATTGTATACAACTGTCATGTGGACCTGCTGTGTTTGGGTCACAGCAGGTCACATGGTACCGGCAACGGGGTCGATACTCAGATCCTGTCATCGCCGTGTCTGAGGTACACGGCCGGTGACAGATCGCGCCGCTCTGCAGGAGCGCAATCTGCGCATGAGGTGCGGGAGGACGCCATATGGCGTCCACCCGGAACGCTGATGACATTTGCCGGCTGCCATTCGGCCATAGGGCGGAGGGGTGGCAAATGGTTAAGACCAAGACTTGGTCATGGTTCCCTCCATGGACTGGATGGGGAATAGAATTGATCCATAATAAGAGTAGTTATTCATTCTTTTCATCAATTCTATTCCCAATCCAGTCCATGGAGGGAACCATGACCAAGTCTGGTCTTCTACTAACCTGAACCACTCTTCCCGTATCTATGTTTCAAAGGATACCAGGGATGATGGCTAGCCAATAGAGCATCATTATGTTTTCCCCCATAACATCTATTACTGGTACGAAAGTAGCTAGGTAACAACAAACTCCTGATCCGGGGGTATCCAGGGGTAACAAACTTTCCCACAGCACACTTGGACTCCTTGAGGTAAAAGCTACCTTTACATTCAGAGTTGGGGTAACCTGCTAGGGCCAAATAAACGAAACTGGTCCTAATCCATAATTTGTTTTGGGTGGTCATTGTGGTCACTGATAGTTTTTTAATATATTTCTCCCATTCTTTCCAAGGTTTGTATTTATTTGGATATAAATGAGCCATCTCTAGGTTCCTTTCCAGTGATATTCAATTTGGATTTACTGCAAAATTCTTCCCCTTTCCTTGACCCTTTTACCCAGATGGAAACACCATTTGGGGCTCATAACAACTCCCAATACTTCCAAATTTAAGTTGGGTGGTGGACATTTGCCAAAATGATGCTCAGATTACCTTCAAACATAGGTGTGATAATTTTAAAGGTGCTTCATATATAGGTATGTTCAATTGTTTCAGGATGGAGCATACTGACAACTTTTAAACTCCGAGAATTTAGCATACTTATATTTAAACTTCAGTAATGACATGTTTTCAGTTATGGATCTCTTCATTCCCTTTTTGTCTTGTTAGTATTATCAGGCAAAGCACAATTTGAATTTAACAACTATTGTGTTCCTATTCGAATTTCTAAAATTGTTCCCTCACATTCCATGTACATTTTCTAACCTTCCTTGC